ATTAGAGGCCCGCCCGGACAAGGTCCTGTGCAGCCTGCTGTAGGTGACCCTGCTTTGGCAGGGGGGTTGGACTAGATGACCCACAGAGGTCCCTTCCAACCCCTACTATTCTGTGATATTCTGTGATATTCTGTGATATCATACTGGAATTTATTATATGTCTGTGCAGATTTCTGACATCATATCACTGTGCCAAATTCACTCCAAATTGTTACGCTTTACGCAGTTAAACACTGGCATAGTGCCTGGATTCAAAAAGCAAGAGCTGCATTAAAAGTGCTGATGCAAAGGTCACGTAGGGGAAAATCTTTCATTTTTTTTTAATTCCATTAATGTGATTTGTCAAATACAAGCTCCAAGTAAAGCTTACCTGCTGCACAACTGAAAAATTGTTTCTGGCCTGCCTTCTAGTTCTGACTTTGTGTGAATCAGTTCCCAGATACAGCTGTTCTCTGTTCCTGTGCATGGAAGGAAACATTATTTATAGATACACACTTCTCAAAAGCTTCAGCATTAGAAAGGCCAGTGCAGAGCGCCTCTTTTCCCGAAGGCAGTGTTAACATAGGCATGGGTGGATCCACAGCAGATCTCGCCCGAGGTGGAACCCAAAGGAAAGTCCCCTGAGCTCTCCTGTTGCACAGCCCAGCCAGTGCTGCCTGTGATAAATTGACCTCTCTTGGGGAGCTGCTTTCCCCCATTCTTAATGCTTCTTGCTGCCTTCCAGCCTTCGAAGGCCTTCTCCCAGGTGCGCAGAGCATTTGCTCTGAACACCTAGTGACACTTCACTGAAGATACAGAATTGGATAGGATCATAAAGATCAGCTCAAAGGGAAAATAAAAACACAGCCCTCTACTACCACTGACTACACAGTCAGCTTTCCCAGATTTGGAAACACACAAGGGTCAGCACACACAGCATAAGGGCGTCACCAGGACGTCAACCATGGTAAATCGCCTTCTGTTCATGCTGTCTTTTCATTGCGGATTTCCATTCTGTCATTCCTTCACATCATGTTGCATCTTCCTGAACTCACGGACGAAGCCAACATACCAAATGAAGAAAGTCTGTTAATGCACCACGCCTGTACCCCCTGAGTGTAGAGACAACAGCAGATACTATTTCATCTACACCTGCCTGTTTCCAGAGGATCCAGAAAGACACATGGAAGAAGCAGCATTACAGAATCCCAGAAAAGCGTTCAGTCCTGAAGTATTCCGTGCAAGTATTACCTGCTGCGTTCCCCAGTCGAACTTGAAGAGCAGATAAAGGAATCAGCCAACGAAATTTAAATGGATCCAAGTCACCATAACCATGTGCAGCACGAACATTAGTAGGCTGCAAAACGAAAAAACAACAAGGATATTTCTAAGAAGTGAAAGTAAAAAAAAGTGAGGCTTTTTTTGTTACTCTTAAAAGACCTGCCTCTGAAGAGAAACTAAATTCATTAGATTTTTTTGCTTCGGTACCCTAATAGGTGCTTATAAATGTAGTTGAAATGGTGATAGACACAACCTTTGGAATCTGTAATTGCTTCAACTTCTAAAAGCACTTGTTTTTAATGGATAAAAATAATACTGTGCATATAAGTACTACCAGGGAACAAGTTTCCCATGAAGGAACCCGCAGACTGTTGATTAGCAGAATACATTAATCACGTAGCTGCTGCTGCTACTCTGAGAGCCCCTCCATCTGTTACGACAAGCATAGCGCAGTACTTCACCACTGGTGCTCAGGATACACAACTCGTCACTTCAATTCAGCATTCCAGTTTTGTAACTGGGGACAGGGGAGGTTATGTTTTTAATGCCCCTTTTCCCTTCCTTCCAGGGTGATCAAGGGTCTATAAGCAGAAGTCTTTAACCTACACACTGTGTTAAGGCAGGCCATTGTAAATGCCAGCTGGAAGCATTAATGATTCCTTTATGGCAATGTTTCATATTCCAGCTGACAGAACTGACACGGGACTCACACAGAGAAGATGCCGCTGCTTACTAAATAACAAAAAATATTTATTACTATACAGATACTGAGCACGTGTTTTAGCTGTGATGATAGCTAGAATTCCAACCTAGCGAGGAAAGGTGGTGCTTCACCACAGTCACTCCCCCTTCAACACCGGTATGGTCCATCTCACGCTGCAGTAGGATCCCATGCATAAACACCCACCACCCTCCACCGATACCAGACTTACCATTTTCTTTTTCAGTTTGTAGTTCTCCTTATACACCAGTATTACAGCCCTCTTAAAAACTAAAAAAGAAAGAAGAAAATGAAAACTGTTAATTATAGGTGTAATATGCAATGAAAATGTTATCTTGGAGAAGCTGACAACTGTAGTCACAGGAATGTGAAGGATGAGTTAAGCAAACTGACTGAAAAGCACCTGCCCTGTGTGAAGACGACGGCTGAGTTTTTCATCCCACCCTTGTTCACGCAATGGCAGTATTTTTTCCTCAGCTTTTGTTCTGACCATTTAGGATGAAGCCATTCTGCACCTTTATTCTGAAACTGCCCACAGCCTGTCTCCTGGTATGTGGTGCAGTCTTCACACGAACAGATACAGCAGATGTAGACTAGATGTAAAGGTTCAGATTTTCTTTTTGTCATCAGTGGAATGTTTTCAAGTGGAGTGCAGGGCCTATAGTAGAGAGGGCTGTGAAAAAGGACAGCAAGTCTGTTCTTTCTGCAACTAAGCATTTGCTTAGTTGGAAACTCGGACATCTCAATTCCTACATTTCCGTTTGCAGGAATTCTCTCCACAACATCCGACTGGAGCGGCTCACTAACGTTATCTAATCTTGCAGCCTCCAGGGTGGCAGGGGCATGTTCTCTCTCATCTGGAAGGAGGAACAGAACCATGGGGGCATTGAAGCTGCAGCTGAACTAAGGGATGGCTCTGCAGAGCAGTCCTGGATCCCAGATCGAACTCGAGGGCAGTACACCTCTGTCCCTGCTCATGCATCCACGCTGGCTTCCAGTGGCAGAGGAGAGAGGGGCAATGGTACGCAGCTGCGTCTCATCCCTACGTGAAGGCAGGATACAGCCATAGCGAGCACAGCATTATTTACCCCAGCGCTTGGGAGCTTCCTTCAGTTCCACATATTAGGTGCATTTTCTAAGCTGCCAACTCAGGGTTTGAAGTGAGAATAAAACTCAGTTTTCAAAGTGGCAGACGAGTGGTCTGCCATTCGTTTGTACACGTCCTGCTGGGAAGCATCTGGCATACGTGCATCACTGCGGAGCTCATCCAAGGAACCTGGGAGGTAGCTCCTGTTTGTTCTGTTAGAAGCTTCCCCTCCCCTAACCTGTCATGCTTCCTGAGGAAGAAATGCACAACAGCCCTGAGAAAGAGAAACTTGTCTCTCGTCAGCCTGAGTTGTTCTGTCGGTGTTTATCCAATGACATTTTAAAAATATACCTTTTGAAGAAATGGATAAGTGCCTAAGATGTTTCACTGGAAGATTTAACTATTTAGGTAATTAGATGATTAATCATATATGTACTATTAGATAGACCTCTTGGTTGTGTGCTCTCATTTCCACATTCATTCCTCAGGTTAAAATAATCTGGACGGGGATTTCGACGCTGTAGCTGTAAAGCAGAGGTTAGCCTAAATTCCCAAGAGGAGAATAAATCAACATTCTCCTACCAGCCTCCTTTGAAATCTTGGTTTAGCAGATTGTTCTAAAGAGAATATTGTCTCTTGAAAATCACTGATTTCCATAGTTTACATATAGGCAAGAGAGCAGCTGAGGTTGGCTCACAGAGCAAACAGCAACAGCAAACAAACGAACGGAAACTTTTCACTTCTCATATTTTTAAATATAACTATGTATTTTTTCAGATGTAAGTCTACCCTAGATATCACATGGCTGCAGGGAAAAGAGATGGTGTCTTTCATCTTGTGAGAAGATTTAATGTGATTATCTTTAGATCTGAAAGAGCAGAGCGTCATTAAGGAACTTACCAAACACTGTAAGTTCAAGGTCTTTTCTTGCTTTGCCCAGTGACGGGAAAGGATTCAGCCAGGAAACTGTAGAGTGCATCAGAAGTTCTCCCATTGAAAGCTCTGTCACCTGTATTAAATTATAACAATAGTTAATACAAATAAATAGTATACATACATCAGTGCTGCGATCCACATATGTGAGTAAAATGTTAATGAGCACACATCGAGAACAGAAAACATAGATCCTTTAACTATTTACTGTATGTACAGAGAGAAAGGCAGAGACCTGCACTAAGTCAGGAAAAGAGTGAGCAATCCCCTTTTTAAAATAGGTAACAACTGTAAGAAGTAATAGCCCCTAAGTTATGGAAGCTAGATGGAAGTTCTTACTATTAATAACTTAGAAGAATATTAAGTTGATCTGATGATCTGTCACTTACATATAGCCAGTTGTGAACTGGCTGATTTATCAGCTGTAAGTATGTTTAATTTCTATAGAATAATTAGCATTAATGACACCACCAGTGGCAGAATTGATGGAGGTCTTGAGCTCTGAGGCTGCTTTCTTCTGTGGGACACAACGTAACTCTGCGAAGAATCTCCCAGGCTGTCAAGTTCTGTTTCCCTATAAATGATGGGAAGCCAGGTAGCCAGCAGGGCCGATTTGGCTTTTTACTAGGAGGAAATGAAACAACCGAGGCAGCATTTCTCATATCTGACCTTCACCTTTACGGATTTGATCTGCTTAGTGATGGTTTGATGTAAATAGCTAAGCTGAGACCTTGCTGCCCCAGTTCTGGGAGATGCGTGCACACGGCCTGTTTAACTAAATGGTTTTTGCTCTGACAAACACCCGTGGATGTCTCCGCGCTGGAAGTGTAGAGAATGAGAATAACAGACATTAATGTGAAATCCCTCAAATTGCCATTTTCATTTGTACGGGTGAAAAAATATCTTAAGAACTTGAGAGCTCTAAAGCATAAAGTCTGAATGCCTTGGAGCATGGATAATCCTTGCAGCATTTGACAAGAGGAGGATTTTTTCCTAGTGAGAACTCTGTCTACTCCTGCTCGCAATTCCTGTCAGTCCAGAAGGCGGCTCTGGCAGCTATCTGAAAATTTTACCGTAACCTACTGACAAAAAGAAACTTGACAGACAGATATGAAACAGAAATCAAAATATTAATGGAGAATGGAGGAAGCCCAGCACAAATTCCCAAAATTACCTCAGGAAGAGAGAAAACACCCAATGGCAAGCGGGATAGTGCTTCAAGAGTGAATAAAATATGTCGTTCCTTCTCTTACCTCCTTCTCTGTTCCACTTTGATCTGCAACCAGTTGGTCAAATACAGTGCCATAATCTTCATAGATCTTCTGCATCTCATTGATATGACTTGCTACTTTTTCCATTGCCTTCAACGCTTCTATAAGTTTTGAAAATTTCATAAACAGCTATGTAATTCAACTGCATTTTCTAAACATGACATTTTTTATTTCATTCCACTTGAGGTAGGCAAAATGACGCAGTGTTCCCAAGGTTTGGTGAACAGAATTGTAGCTTTATATCAGTGCTTTCTCATAGCAACAGTAGAAGATAAGCCTCCTGATCAGAGTAAGTGAAAAATGCTCGTCTGGCGTCTTAAGTGCCTGAAAAGGCTGCAATAAGCATTCCAGTGATAAGCCCCTAGATGCATGAATATTCCTATCAACATGCTAGTAAGCACGGTTGGGTTTTGCATCTTGTGTATATTGGGCCACTAGGATCTCTAGAGTAAGAGCTAGGATACTAGGATAAGCCATCTGATGAGCTTTAACAGAAACAAATTGCATTTGGCCCACCGCAGAATCGGCAAAGAAATACAATGCCAGGTTGTACAAGTTCCTCATGGATTGTATCCATGAAAGTACATGCTGGTGGGCAGGTTGTGTTTACATTTTGTTTTCTAAGCAAGAACAACACTAGGTTTTGTTAGACTTTTGTGTTAATTCAGAAAGGAGTTGGAGAAGGGCGCTTAGTTTCTCCAGTCCTGGCAGCTCTTAACGGTGCAGCCTTTTAGAAGTCTGGCATCCATCCTGACCTGCGAGTAAGTCACCCCCACGTTGGTTGCAAGGGTAAGGGAACAGTATTAGAAGGTCCCTTTGAAGTCAGTAACAGCCTCATGACTTTTTGCTGACAATTTATTTTGCCTGAATCTGTTTTGTTAAAATGACAATCATTCCATAAAATGCATCACTAGACTTTCATCTGCCAGGTGCTGAATTTGCCAGGGTGAAGTCCCAAGCATCTGAGCTTAGAAGAGCCATCAACTCTAATATATGTTAGACAGACAAGTCTTTCTGTGTGCAAAACTACGTGCAAAAGACTGCAAAGCTTTGACACAGATCTTTTCTATGCAAGCAAGAGTCACATCCAACCCTCAAACAACTGAAGTTTCTGTCTGTGACGCTCTTAAACTTTGACACATTTCAAGAACTGAGTAATAACCACAAGATGGAGCTTTGGTCAGTGTTTCCCAAGTTGGAAAGAAAAAAAAGCCACACTGTGACTTGACATGCTCCTGTGCAAGAACTGAGGAGGAACACCCTGGTCCTATTTCCCATGGCAAATCGTGACTATATCTACTTCTCAAAGTGACTTGGACATACCAAGTAGGACTTTTTGCTAAAAGCATGAAAAAGCTACTTACTATTTTTAATGAGAGGGAGGGAATTCTCTCTAGGCTTTGACAAGTTCTGTGCTATTTGTCAGAATGGCTACCTGCATCTTCAGAAAGGGCTGGCAATAAAACATAACTGTCATTCATTCCTGCAGAAGAAAGGAAGAAGTTACCTGTCAAATGGTAGTGCTCCTCACTCTCGTTGTCTGTCAGAGACACCAGCTCTTTTAAAAGCAGAGGATATTTCAGCACTCTCTGAACAGGCTTTATGAGATACGACTCCAATGTAGAAGAGTGTTGCTTTGTGGGATTTCGAGCATCCAGAAAGGCCTTAAAGGCACTATCTGTTTTGGCTAGATGTAAATAAAAGAGTGGGTCAGTTGAACATGGAAGTCATAGAAGCTGCAATAATCTGAAAGCACAGAATTGCAACTTGTAACCAGCACCAAAAGCCTCACCCTTTCCAACAGATGGTTTACAAAGTGGTTTACACTATTCATTTCATAACCATTTCCTGCATTAAACAACATACATAAGGGCTAAGAGAGCAATTATATCAAGGTAAGATTATTCCTCAATGTAATTTTTCCACTACACTCCAGTGGATGGCAGAGGAAGTAATTCCTAACTCACTCTGCCATTTGTTGCTGCTTTTTGGAGCATGAGCTGTATCTGCAGACACACAAATTTGTGGAAGATGTTTCTGCGTCTGTTCAGGCTACTGCCTGGATGTTACAAAAGGAATCTGATCTTCAGTTCTATACCGTACTTCAGCAGAATCACAGATCTTAGCTATTCCTATTGAAAGATGTCCAGTTAGTCCTTGCTTTGTACCCATATTCTCTGCAAGTTAACGAGATTTGTTATGGTAGTTCACTGCAGTTTAAATTGAGGCAAATGAATTACAATAATGAAGACAATCAATTACCTCTCTCGAGAACTTTCTGAACTTTGATGTGGTTTGCACAGAAGCAGCTGAACAGCTTAAAGTGGTCAGCATAATACAGAAAGGAGCCTCCAAGGGAAAACAGCAATTTCTGAAATCAACACAACCAAAATATTAATTCAATAGTAGAATCCTAAATAAATGTTCAGGTATAACACAGAGGCTCAACAGTGTGATTATCTGCTACCTTTCTATACATATCCTATACTTTCTTTTTTTATATATATATATATATATATAAAACACATGAATATACTACTAGTAGTAGCTCTGTGATGTTTCTGTATTTCTCCAGGTGTAGAGTTTAGCCAATTTAGGCAAAGCCTGTGATTTTCTCCATTCTCCCTGAGCAGATGACACCACGCAGCCATTCTGTATAACTGTATCTTTCAGGCAGCACAGGAACAAAAATCAACAGACACATAACAGGGTACATTGTGCTGGGCAAAAAACATGAGCAATAGGAAGCAAGGCATGAAAGTGCCAAAGCCAGAAGGGACAGTGTAAAACAAACACAGAGGATTGCTTTCCAACTATTTTCCTTCTTCCAGACAGGTGGTAATTACAGGGCACCTCTGATGTTCTTGGATGAAGGGGCGGCTGGGAAGATGTGGGAGGGACTGAATCACGAGGGAGATGTTTTTAGAAAAATGCTTCCCAAAGCAAAGATAAGAAAGAGGAGTTGTGAGGGTGTAGGAGGGGGAGGGGGAGAGCGGCCCTCTCTCCTCTTTTTAATCAGTGTTTGCTCCACAAAAGGCAGCAAGTGTCCGGGAGACCCGCCAGTCCTTCTCCCAGTTAGAGCAGGCACCGAGCGGTGCCACAGTGAGTGAGACAGCACAGCGAGGGCACACTCCACAGCCGTTTACACTTTGTAGACCCTCTTCTTGGACCTCACAACACGAGCAACTCGGGCAGCATTTAACAGGAGAAGCTCCCAGCCTGCAGCGGGTGAACTGGGCGCGGCGGGGAGGAGCACAAGGCAGGGCAGAATTCACCACAGCCACAGTAACCTTTCTACAAAGGAGTTCTGCATCGCAAGCATTGCTGGTTTGTAGCATATTCAGCGTCTACTCTGCGTCTTCCATGTGGCATCCTCTGCCATGGGACAGAGGATGATAAACCCATGGAAAACAGCACTTATCTTTCGCTGTTGAATAGGTGTCATAATCCAAAGTAAAGCTTCAAACGTAAAAGCAACCATACGAAACTTAAATACGAGTTCTTAAAGTCAGATTTCCACAAACACTTCCAGGCACACTGCAGGGTATTAAATAACTAAATATTTACCCGGAACTGGGATGGCGTTTCCAGTGTATTAAAATCTGAGGAAGAAGATATTCCATCTTCAAGGGTCTCCAGAAACACCTTCTGGAAATCCAGCATTTCTGGCAGACTGCCGAACAAGGACTCCATCTGTAAGAAACATCAAGCTATGAAGTACAACACTCCATACATTTACCTATGGCCTTACAAAAACAGTCCACTAGAGAGATGTCACACACAAAGAAGTTGCAAAGGCCAATAACATCTTCGTTAATACTTTTCAAATGGGTTTTATTAAAAAAATAAAAACCACCTTACAAAAAAGCGAAGATTTCTTAGCAGTTCAGTCAGAAGAACAATTATCCTTTAAAAAAAGAAGTGACGCATGCACCAGACAGAAAGGCACTGACTTGTGTAATTCCTATTGTTATGCTCATTGTTTGGTTTTTCTGTCATGCTCTCAGCAATGAAAAACCCAAGTGCCAAGGTCTTCACCCATAAAAGAATGAAAAGCACATCTTTCAGTTATTCCCTCACCTCGTCCTGGGTAAGGAAGGTTTCATTTTGAAGGGGCTCCAAGTACAGCTCAAAGAGGCAGCTCAAGTCCTGCAAGAAAAAGAATTCATTCACTTTGTATGTAATGGTTTGAAATTGTTATTTATATGACAGCTGGGGCATAGGGGGAATTTTGGGGAATGAACTAGAGATACAATTCCTTTTCTGTAACAAAATCACCTGCGTGTTGTTAGCACTGAAGTGATTGCTAAATTAGACGCAATTGATTTCAGTGTGATATTTTTCTTTCATCCTTAAGGCTTTACAGCTTGATTATAACAAATTATATTTTAGTATAGCGTGAGGAGAAAATATTACAGATGATGGCTTTCTAAAGAGTCCATGTATATGAACAGCATCAAATGTTTTAATCATGCATGTTAGATAAACCTTATAAATACTCATTTAAATATCAGTAGTAATATTCAGAAGGAAACATTTTAAAATCCTATTAGGTATTAAAGTGTTCGGTTTTGTTGTTGGGGGGGATGCGATCAAGGGCTTTTTCAGTCACTTCTTCAAAGAGTAGGTGCCACTTTTGAAGACTTACTATCCCACACCAAATCATGACGGCAGGGCTGGGGCCCACTGCAGGGCTCTCCGACCCTGAGAAGAGAAACGGCAGAAATTCTTACGCAGAAGGAATAACGAGCACCTCCCTGAGAACACCATAATGAGTATGTAAAACCTGCCAGGCTTTTGCCTGGTGAAAATTTCACACATCGGTGACCTCCATGGTCACGCCTTTCTTCAAGTGATTCCTCCACAAGAAACACCAGCTGGACATACAAGGGGTTCCGTGTTCTGTAAAGCTTCCTCCAGCTTTACAGAGTATGGCTTTATTAGTGTATTGCTGGATGTAGTAGCAACAACAGACTGGAAGAGTTTTCTCTTCTTTCCCATATACATTATTGCAGCAAGTACTCATATCTGTAGGTATCTGTTTGGCGATCAAGTAAAGCAGGTGATTCCTCCTTGCTGGCGGTCAATGAAATCAATGCTTTCATGTTTCTTTTGGCATACAGTCACATGAATTTGGGGTTTATAAAAAGAAGAGACATACATCTAACAAGTTACGGACTAATCAGTCAAAGGAGAAATAACATATGTGTGACGCTACAACCAGCTGGAGTTGTGCCTTTTAGCTTTGCTGACTCAAAAATAATTATGCACTGTTTTCCACAACTAAACTTTTTTTCTAACTCGTAAGAGAATCTATTCTGTTCTTCTACCAGATCTATTTTAATTTTGAAAACTATGGAAACATCCCCTGGAAAATTCCAGTGTTCAAATATTGCAGGTATATACCCCCCCCCAAATTATCACTCTCCAATATAAACACAAATCCACTAGAACAAAAGCTACTAGATCAAATCCTACAGCCTCAGTTACAGGAGCAAGCCCTCTGAAAACAACAGGAACAATTAGATGAGCGGACTTCATAGGTTTTGGCCCCTGTAGAGTGCTGGTAATATAAAAGTAAGCATGAAATATGTTAAGACCATCTACAAACCATGGTCAGACTCAAAAAGAAGGCTGTAGCTAGCCAGTTATGTTTTTTTACCTTGACGTAAGATTTCTCAGTGTCCATAAGTTCTTGGATGACCTTCCTCAGTCTATCTGCGTCAGAAAGGTGGCGAGCCAGTGGCCGTGGAGGTGGATCCTGGTTGTCCTTCTGTCCTTCCATACTACTTGCTTGGACTTCTTGGAAGTTTCGGCACAACGCACTGATCTGTTCTGTGCTCTGTTAAATGAGAAGAAAGAGACAAGCACCGACGTTTTAGAATACATGCTGTACTACAATTATTTTTAAATTCCACAAATTTTGCTCTTGTTCCAAACTCGGGGGCCAGAGTATGCCATTGATTTTTGTCAAATATGTATCCTGATAGCTTTGAACAGCTTGAATTTATAGCAGATCCAGATCACAGCACTAAAATGAAAAGAAAATTTTCTAGCGGTTTTCCAGTGCAAATTATTTTCAGTCTTCAGATACAAGTTCGTAGGATGCAAAAGATGAGAGGGCACTCAGATATCTCATATACTTTGATTCTTATGACGCTAACATCACACTGTTTTCCATCTCTCATTTTGCAATGTTCATTGCATCAAAATACAAAGAATTAGTAGATGGAGATCTTTTAAGCATCCAGAATAACTGTTCGATTTGTCATCTGCTACCTCTACTGTGTTGTGTGTTTTTTTCAGACAACAAGGCATGGAGCTGAGAATTCAGACTCCAATGTCCTGGGTTGTCAAAAGATGTTTAGATGTTTTCTCTCCAAGGAGTCAACTACATATCAAGATTTTTTGCTTTCAAAAATGGCAAATGGAAACCTAAATCTTTGAGATTCTTTAGAAAAATGATAAACATGAAAAAAAACCAGAATGTTTTCAAGCAAGGTAGGAACTGGAGATGGAACAAAAGCAGTTAATCTTACAAAGGCAAAGTTGGACAAGAAAGATTTTTCTGACACTGTGAAATGGTTGTTTACTTCCCTCTTGCAGGACCATCACTAATATCCAAGAGCAACTTCTTCAGGCAATAATCTTTAATGCTTAATTTGAAAATTATTCCACAGTCCTCTTTCTCATATGACATTTTCCTGAAAGCCAGAATATCACTACCACTACCCAATTCTACCTTAACAGCTGTTGGTATCCACCTCTTTATACTACATGAAACAATTCTTCTTCAGTGCTTCTGTCTTTCAGACACTCTCTAAGACACCGGATGGTTGCATACGCTGTGCCAAATACTATCTTCTATTTAGCAAATGCATTCAAATGAGGACTACATGAATGCTGCCTTATTTCAAGTGGAAGTCTTGTTTCAGTAATCTTGTTTCAGTGAAGAAATTAGGACATGAGCGCCTTTCAGAACTGTCTTAATCTGTACAAATTTATTCCGCACACTGTTTTCAAGTGGTCCTTTTTGGATCTCCTGATTCACCACTGATTATCTGTGTACCTAGGTTCGCGAACATACTAGGTCATTGATAAGCAAATGCAAAAGTTATTCTGAAACTGAACTGAGCTACACAAAGCCTTCTGTAAGGTGGAGGCTAAATGCACTAGCAGTATTAAATCTCGACCATTCATGTGACAAAACATAGGTACATTTCTCACACCTACATGATGGAAATAAATGTTAAAATGTCAAATATTTGTCATGTAGTCCATATTACTCTGTAGCTTCCTAGCCCCCAGTTTTGAACAATGACACCACTCTAAAAAGAAAATTATTTTACTTTGCTCACTAGTATGTGCAACCTTCTTCCACAATCCCGTACAACAATGGCTTACAGGAATACAAAATTTAGATACATTTTGTATTTACAACATTTATTGGGACCCAACAAAATGCCACGTAAATGGAATGGTGTTTGTTGGAATTACAGCTGCACACCGATGGAATACATTTAAAAATCACAGTTACTCTGCGCCACTAAAATTAATTAGTGCTTTGGAAATAAAGCACAACTTCATTTAGGAAATGGGGGGTGAAGGGGGTGTATTTTAAAGCAACTTCTAAATAGCTGAATGCCAAAGTACTTCAGTCTTGTTTTCTTTGTTTCTGACGTCAGAAAGTTTTGTATTTGTATCAGAATGACTCAGATTTTATGCTCTCTACAGCTCAAGGTGCACATGGGCAGCTTGATTTACATCAGCCTGATGCCTGATCAAGGACACTAGATCAAGGATGTGAGACAGCCTACTGAAAGCAAGTCATAAGCATCATCATCAGGCACAGTTTTACAAGGACAAGTTAGAAGTCCTCTACTCCTCTTCAACCACCTTTGCACGTAGGGCAGGCAGACATTGGAGAACATGCTATGCTCTCCATCCCCTTCAGTTCTGGGGCCAGAGCTGCAACGCCACCAAGAACCATTGGATAAGAAAGCATATGGAAGTAGACGATACTCCTCAACATAAATACTATTTGAGCACCTAAGCAATATACTTTTGGTGTCAGAAATTGTTCCGCATAACTACCCCAAGCCTAAGGCACCGGATTACCTCTCAGCCGTACTGACAAGAAGTAGTGATTTTTATAAACTTTACTATGTTTCTGAACATGTGCAGGCCTGGCATTAAAAATATTGCCCTCGTCCCGCAGTGCTGCTCGTAGGCTCTTGTCCTTTCCTGTGGCCTTGCTGCTCTCTGTCCTTCCCTTTATGAGAGGCTTTTAGACTGTACAATATCCAGACCTCGCTCTCACTCTTTGTACCGACTGTGGTATTTACATTTGAATCAAAGCAAGCATGAAATGGTACTTGATCACAGGACAGAAGTATTTCACATTCACTCCTACACATTGCATGGACCACAGACGATGCTGGAACCCATTTTGCCAGTGAAACTACGAAGTGTACCGTAGGTTCTCAACCAAGAGCCCAGTATTCATAAGAAACTTCATAATAACAAATAAGTAGAGAGGAATAAGAACTATTATTGCTCCACATTTCTTCCCACAACTCCCTTACCACCCAGGTCGGGATTTCCACCTTTTTTCCACACTTTTTTGGATGATGCTAACCAGTGTCCTGCTTTATATTATTTTTAGCTGTTTAAAACAGATCTTTTCTAGAAAGGCTCTAGTGACAACCCCTAAGAACATCTCTTTTGTATCTTTTATGTGTGGGCAGGAGAGGCCCAGCCTGACTGCAGCTGGGATTTCAAAGCCAGCTGGACATTCTGGATGTCAAAGCAGACTGTCAATGACAATGTCTGACAATGACATTGCAACGGCTAACACAGGGAGATTTGAGACTCTGATACATCTCGTAAACTCCTCAAGCACACAACTTCTTTTATTTACATAAGGCCAAGACTATCTGTCCTTAGTAAATGGTAAAAAAAATTATTTGTGTCAACCTTTACAGTGTGCAGCTCATCAGAAATAAAAAACATTTAAACTGGCGAAAAGAAAAGCCCAGATGACTGACTGTGGACAAGGCTGCAAGGTAGCTGGGTGCAGAGAAAAGCGGAGGAGAGCATGCAGAGGAAGCAACAAACTTTCTCCCAAATCCATCACTTGAGCTTGTATATGCCACTTTCAGCAACATTTATAGGAGGTCACAAGCAGCTTCAGCTGACCTTTGGCACTGAACAGCAGCCAGATGAGGCTAAAAATCCAAAAATTTAGACTAACAGTGCTAGAGTTGGAAAAGACAAGTGGCGCTTATGCAGGGTTTATAGAGAAAACAAACACTTGCATTCCAGGGAGAATGAAGTTACACAGCACTGTCCTGTTTGTTTTACCAGCCATTTTCACAGATTTTCCAACAAAGCTGTACAAACCCTTCTACAGACCTCGCAGTCAGGGGGAGGAGCCTCCTGCCCTATACTCTCTTGGCTTCTAAGAAAACAGAAGGATGTGTAGAAGCAGCCTTGAGAAACTTTTTTGTCATCCCCACATGTTTGGGACTCATAGTTAGGTCCTACATCCTTTTGCATGGAGTATTCCCTGAGACTAAGGATTGCTCACAGGAACCTTAGAAGGGAAAGTTCCAGCCCACATAATCATCAGCTTGACCCATAGGTGTCAACCACCACAGCGGTGCTCAGCTTGTCAGATGGAGATGAAGCACATCCCATTTTCAATAATACTTGTGGTAAGAAATATCAGAAATTATTCATTTTAAGTGAATAAAGGATACTCTTATACGGAACCTCTTACAGATTTTCCTTGCTCCTTGCAGACAAGCATATCATCATCTGAGGCTGTGCTATCCCCACCAGAGTTAAAAATCTCCATAAAATTAATTGGTGAGAAAGCAGAAGACATCAATCAGCAGTGGTTAAGCATCAGCACAACAATTTCATGGCTACCCTGTGTCTTTCTACTGAATGATACTGACTGAGCATAAATGCTGCACAGGGTCAGTTAGTGTTACAGTGTCTCTGCTCATCGCTGTTTATTTCACCCTCATTTATACACATCGGGTACTCTGTCAGTCAGTTAGGCTTTGTTTGAAAAAGTGAGGAAAAGGAATATTTTGAGTAGGCTTAGAAAACTCTTCAGCCTGAGAAAGACTCCTTGGGGAGGTGGGGGTAAAACCGTGCATGTCCTTTGATGAGTTTTCAGATTCCTGTCCCCCTGTGCAGGACACTGACCACATGGAGATCACCAGTCCTTTGCATTCCTTATCCGAAGAGGAAGCATGCTCAGAAAACATCCTGCAGAAACAGATTACTCTCGTACCCTCTAAAAATGAATAGCTAACAGCCTGGCTCTGCCTGTATATATTTCCAGGAAATAAGACTGAAGGCACCAGCCAGCAGAAGAAATACAGTTATAAGGGAATTTGAGAAATGAACAACTGGCCAGAGAACTTTTTACATCCCTCACTCCCTGAAAAAGGAAAGCTTTTGGAGATGTCCATCACTTTTCCTTTGTGTTCAAAGACATTTTTCTGCAGAACAAATGCAGCCCGAAGAGCCATCATTTTTTTGTGGCTCCATCACTCTACAGACTTCTCTATCATCCTCATACTGGGAAGTACTTTCTAACCAAGCAAAGTAAAAGGCTAGAAAGTCACAGGTGTTAGCTTCCTTAAAGACCACTGAAAAAAGTCACTGTATGTTACACACCAGTACAGCATGTGGACTCCTCTAAATTAAGACTGAAATATGTCAACAGAGTTTTACTGAAAACTGCCCTGTGAGATTTTCACCATAGGTATCTGGGCAAGACTGCTGCTCAGCTTCAGGCAACAGAAGCTAAAACAAAGTAGTAGA